GTCGTCGTGAAAACTACTTGCCACTGGTGGTGTTAATACCCCTGACAACGAGCTCAAGACGCCAAGCCCCCCAGCATGCATGAAATTCGAAAGCGTGGCCCCTAAGTCATTTCCGTGACTACGCAAAGCCACAGGCCCACACCACAGGAATGTAGGGGCCTTAGTAATGAGAATCGGGCTTTGGGGTACATTATACTCTAACTCTAATAAGGAACCCCCAAAATAGTATTGGTAATTATTTCGGCTCCTATTGTAAGAGCCTCAAGCTAGCACAGGTCCAAATCCTAAGCCCAAGCTTTTAACAGCCTAAGAAATTCTTCCCCTGCACACACCTTCAAAAAGCCTTTATGACCACTAAATGCCGTTCAAAACCAATTCAAGAACGCAAGCGCAACCTTGTGGAGGATCTCCCTACCCTAAACCCGAAACCCTAAACCCTAAACTCTGAACCCGAAACCCTAAACCCTAAAGAACCACATAAACACCATCCCAAGGCCCACACGGAGACCCTCTGTCGCTTCGGTTGATGTTTCCTTGAGCTCCTCGAAGCCGAACGTTTTTTCGGCTAAACCGAAAACATGTATGTACCGAGGTCTCCAAACTCTTAAGTTCAGGATTTGGGGACTTCGGGTGCAGAGCTTAGCAGTCTTATGCAGACTCGTAAACATATGCCACAACTTCTACATATATGCAGCATTACGTGAATGCACCTGCGTCTGTATGTGTGTGTGTGTATGTGTGTATGTCCACATGTAAGCACATGTGCACACATGCATGTGCGTAGAATATTGTGTGTGCACATACATACATACATACATACATACATACATATATATATATATAATGCGTGGTTCGGTGTAACTGTGTAACTGTAAAAATGCGAATGTGTGCATATGTGAATATATATATATATGTGTGTGTCTGTATATATATATATGCATATATATATATATATATATGTGCGGTATGTATGTGCTGAGATATACGCATGCACGTGTATACGTACATATAAACATACATGCATGCATACATACATACATACATACATACATACATACATACATATATACATATACATATATATATATATATTAGTTGATGGTATTATATGTATACCCACCAGTATATATATATATATACACATACAGATACATTGTCATACATGTATACATAGAGTCGTTGTCGTGTATGTTTATATCTTTCATGCTGTGTTATGCTATGGCAAATCATGTCATGACAAGTCACGGAATGTTATGTCTTGTTATGCTATGTATATATACACCCATCATACATACACATACCTACATATACATATATAAGTAGATTACTTATTTTTTCATTTAATTATACAGAGAGACGAGAGAGATAAAATACTTTTAGCTTCCCTGCAAGCCGCCAAATGACCTACACTGTGGTCACCTTGCTTGAGCAGCAGATCCCATCAGTTCTAGCCGGCCGAAACCAACCAAACCCGAAACAACAACACGCAAACCTCATATTAAAAATTAAATGGATTCCCAAAACACTTACCGGAGAGACATGGGACCCATATCTGAGCTTTCTCATTCACCTGAACTGTTCAGTCTGAGGGCGAAAATCTAGAAGAACCGAGCATGGCCAGGAAAGCACCTTAAGCAGCTCGTCCAGACGCTGGATCTTGAGCCTTGCCGGTGGGTTCATGATTCAGAGACTCCAATATCCCGTAATTAACAAATATACCTTAAATCATATTAAGGATCCTACTATAATTTAAGGTATATTCCTTAATTAACTTAGGAAATCTATGGTTTAGGGTTTGAGACTAGGATTTAGGGCTTAGGGCTTAGGGGTGCAAGGTGGGTTCATGATGCAACTTAACTTAGGAAGTCTATGGTTTAGGGTTTGAGGCTAGAATTTAGGGTTTGGAGACTCGGCTCGGCTCTAGGCTTCAGGTTTGCGGTTTCAAAGACTTTTTGGGGGGGGCGTGGGCTTGCGGTTTTCAGTCTGTTGCGTAAATTCCACATTGTAGAATCCGGATGAGCAAACGACGTGAATTCCCAGTGTAGTTCAGCGGGATTGAGGGATTGGAGAGCCTTGGGTCAGTCCAGGTTAAGGCTTTTCTGAATTTGGACTTGTTTCAAGTGCAGTGGGCCTCCCTAAACCCTATAAACCCTAAGCTCCAGGGGCTCGACCGCTCCGGTCCGCACTACAGCAGCAAACCCTTCACTCAGAGGACTCGGCTTCTCCATGTTCAACGGCATAGTAATATAGGTGCCGTAACAATTAGAATAGGGTTCCTTTAAAGCGTGCCTTAAGAGGGTTACTTTAAGGCTTCCTTTAAAGGGTTCCTTAAAATGGATACTAGAAGGATTACTATAAGGGTTCTACAATATAGGGGCCTTAATAGTTAGAATACGGTTTTGCACTGTAATTTTAGTAAGGAACCCCCCAAAATCGTAGTGGTAATTATTGAGGCCGCTATCTTGGTAGGCTTTAAGGAACTCCTGGACCCAAAGAAACTTACCCTCTTAATAGGATTTCCTTGTATGAGTCCCTACAAAAAACGGTGGGTTTCTTAGGGCCCAGGCGAGGTTTCTAGAATGGTCTATCGGCGGCATTCGGTGACTTATGCCCGCTTGGCAGTCAGCGCGGTGCTCTTCGGAAGACAACCATCGAATGTAGCCTTGACATGAACATGTAGAGTGAGGAACCCAAAGGAATCACGGACTTTTATGTTAGGCAGGATCCAAGTTTCTTTGAAAGGATCACGGGGATTACAAATCCACTGGTTCCTAAACATCCCGAAATCCAAATCCGAATCCCTTCTGTGTCAAGCAGGGTTTGGGCTTAGTGGGTCTAGAGTTGCACAGTTTGGGGCGTTGCTACAAACCAAAACGTGGCAGTCGCACCAGATCTCGCTTTCGGAGCGATTCGTCCGTTCATCACGGTCCTGGCTTGAGGGTTTAGGGTTTAGGTTTAGGGTTTAGGGTTTAGGGGGTTTAGGGTTTAGGGTTTAGGCAGTGGGACGTGTTTTTGTCTTACTCCTGCTTCCAGGAAATTTCAGCAAGCGAGCATGCAACTCAAGGCGATTAACTCAAAGCGCGCGCACACACATGCATACAAACAAATCATCGTGCAAAGATAAATTAACACAATGAAACACCCGACACACACACACACACACATCACGAGTCGCAACACACATGTGCATATAGGTACGTGCAGCGTGCCTATGTATGCAATTAAGTGGGTCAGGGATATATCAAGTGTGTGTCTGTGTGTCTGCCTGCCTGCCTGCCTGCCTGCCTGCCTGCCTGCCTGCCTGCCTGCCTGCCTGACTGACTGACTGACTGACTGACTGACTGACTGACCGACTGCCTGTCTGTCTGTCTGTCCGTCCGTCTGTCTGTCTGTCTGTCTCCGTCGGTCTGTCCGTCTGTACGTCTGTCCTTCCGTCTGTCGGTGTGTCTGTGCCTGTCTACATACACGTATGCATGCATGCATAAGGATGTACAAAGCTTGTATTATAACATCAACTAACAAACACATATCTGTTTGTATAGTGTATGCAAGATCATATGGATAGTTCTCTAAATTCGGGTCCCTTTCTAGATCCCAAATATAGCACGGCACCCTTATAAAAAGGACCCTAATTTAGAGAACTACCCATATCTCCTGCATCTCAACACTCGAGCCCAGGTATGGTCCTGCTGGTCCCGCTGCTTGGCGTCATTGTCATCCTTTGAGCCCAGGCTCTGGAGAGGCTTAGGAACAGGATTCTCAACCTACTGTAGGGGCCTCAATAATTAGAACACGGTTTTAGGGCCCATTATACTATAATTCTGATAAGGAACCGCCCAAAAATAGTCTTGGTAATTATTTAGACCCTTAAATTAGTTAATGCCGGCATACAGCGGCTTGGATTCAGCATTTGGGGCTCAGGCTCGGCCTTCTAATTAAAACTGCCCTCTAGACTATAAGCCCCCAAACTCATGCTCCTAAAGCCCTTGCTTGACAAGGACTGTGGCAGGGGATTGAGGCCAGATGGTCCTCAGAAGTGGGGCGGGCTTCACGAGGGGCCTACATCTACAGGGTTTAGTATAGTTTAGGGCCCTCACCCTAAACCCTGAACTTTTGGGTTACGGGTTACGGATTTAAGGCTAAAGTGTCAAGTTTTGGAGCTTCCGGATTCGGTGCTTCACGGCTTGTGGGTCAGCGAGAATTTTAATTACTGCCAAGGATCCCGGCAAGGGTTTCGGGTTTAGGGCTAAGGGCTCCTGAAGCAACTCCTGGGAAACCATAACACAAAGCCCCGGAACCCTAAACCCTAAACCCTAAACCCTAAACCCTAAACCCTAAACCCTAAACCCCAAGCCATAGACCAAGAGCACCCGGACAATGGAAACAGAAGTGTGGGACCTGGGGCTTTGGCAACCCTAAACCCAACCCAAAACCCCTAAACCCTAAACCCTAAACCCTAAACCCTAAACCCTAAACCCTAAACCCTAAACCCTAAACCCTAAACCCTAAACCGGGCCCTAAATCTTAAACCCCAAAACCACAAGACCCAAAAATCCTAAACCCCGAAGCCCCAAAACCCAAAAACCCTAACGAGGTCTCGAGGATTTAAATTTGCGGTTGTTTAGGACTAAAAGACTCCCTGTAGCTTCCGTTGTAGGTTTAGGGTTTAGGGTTTAGGGTTTAGGGTTTTTTTGGGGTTCCCTGTTATTGTATTTAGGGTTTAGGGGTTTAGGGGTTTAGGGTTTAGGGTTTAGGGTTTGTAGTTCCCTTTTGGGGTTCTCTTTTATCGTAGTTCCTGTGTTGGGTTCCGTTTTGGAACCCCCTGCATAAATTACGGTTGCGGGTTTGGGGTTTTTTGGCGGATGTGGCTCGAGTCAGAAGACGCACGCGCAAATTCCGTCCTTGCAACTAAGCCCGCAGCAGGGCCGGGCCAAAAGCCAACACAGCCGCCGTGGGTCCATAAACAACATGACCATCCCGGGCAATCGCACGCAGCTGACCTGTACACGCGTACTGATGCTCGCGAGAGGAATCCGACAAAGCAGGCGCAAGCCGTTGGGCGAGGCGACCATACTCGTCAGAAAAAACTACCTCCTGCAAAATTTGGGCCGCTTCCTCGGACCCATGGGACTCGACCAGTCGCAGAAAGCGCTCTAAGATAGGGAGGAAGCAGGTGGACCCACTGTGGTTCGTGGGCCAGCTGATCTCTGCACTGGGAATCGGTGAAGGTAGCTGGGGCACCAGTAGGGCCCACCAAGGCCGCGGCCCGAACATGACCGTGGGCGGGGCCCGTACGCACGGGTCCTCATGCACCTCAGGCTCTGTGTCCAAGTCGGCTCCAGCAAAGGAGCGGGCACAGCGTACAGACGTACGAAGATGCTGGCGCAGCCGGGCGGTCGACCAGTACTGCTTGCAGCAGACCTGACAGGAGGAGCCTACGGCATAGCTAGCCTGCGACCTGACATCATGGACCTTGGCCATGTGGGCAGCCCTGGCAGCAGCCGTGCTGAAGCACGAGCCACAGATCTGACATTCACACGCCCCGTCGGTGGGTTTGATGACCGGGACAGCACTGTAGCAAACACCAGCGACAGCCGCCCGCTCATGAAGACGCGCCTTGTCAGCGGCAGGCTTGACCAGGCAGTCACGCCCTTGCACAACCTGGACCCGGAAACGCTTCAGCAGGGCACGTGTAAGCCCAGCGGACAGAGGCCAGCTTTGCGCTCAAGCCAGGATTGCTCCGAGCACAGAACCGCTTCAAGAAAGGCATGACCCTGACGAGAGATTGCCGCAAGCACACGTACTCTCGAGCATGCCAAAGCTTCATCAGGAAGCATGGCTCCTAGAAGAGCACATACTTGCTCATTACTCAGACGCCTGCACGGGAAACCCCAAAGGGGTCGCACGCAGCCACGGAGTATGCCATAGTAACCTCGCCTGAACTTGCCCAGGTGGGTCATGCAATGAAAAACCCACGTTCCAGAATTGTGAAGAAGGCGTGATAGGACTAACGAAAAGATGAAGTCCCTCTTCTCCGCCATCCCAAAATTCGGGTTAGTAAGGAGCCTGGCACGTACCGGGTGCAAGGCCTCACGGGCATGGGCAATCCTCTTGGTGACGTCCTCGACGCTCTTGGCGTCAGTGGCACGCAACGTTCCGAGATGCGCGTATTGGGCAACGCACCGCAGCTGAACAGTGGGGTGGCCCGGGATGCTGACACCTATGCCTGGGGTAGGCTGCAGATCATCCCCAACCATACATCGACGCCTCACCTGCTGGGAACCGGGGCCACATGCATGCATGACTGTTTCCGTCTTGCCCGGGGCAAAGTTGGTACCGACCCCCAGGATGCGAAGGTATTGGGCGGCCAAGCTGGCCGCCCGCGCAACTGCATGCGGTAGTTGCTGGGCGCTAGGGCTGGCGACCATCAAAGCAATGTCATCCAGCCACGTCGCTGGGGGTGCATCAACATGGTCACCAGAAGGCGCAACAAGGCTTGCCGATATACCTTCATCAGCTAGGTGTCGCTCAAGGGCGGCCAAGGATGCCTGGGCTGCATACTGAAAGGAGATATCAGCATTAGGGGCACCCGGCAGCGTGCCGCAAGTGGTGGCATAGGCCTGGGCAGAATTTTCGTCCACACTGAACCATGTTCCTCGAAGGGAGGCACGAAGGAACGCAATCACATCTGCCGGCACACCGGCACGGTCCAGGGCACCTCGTCCCCTGAAGGCAGCCTTGTATCGATCAGCCACCGCAGGCTCAACCTGAGCCTCAACGAGCTTAGCATGAAGCTCATCCTCCGTGAGGTCAAACAAGAGGGTGCGGTCCGTAGACGGGAAGGCCGCAACTCCGTCCAGAAAGAGCACCGCACCATTGAGCCTGTGGCGGTGGAGATGGCCAAGGAAAGCCTGAACCATCAAGGAAGGGAGCTCAATCGGGACATCCTTCCGTGAGCCACCCACGGACGCCTGTGTGATCGACTCGAAGTTCCTGGCCAAAACAGGGCGGCAGGCCTTGGCAACAGCTTTGCCAGTAGTGGCCATGAGGGCAATGGCTCTATGGCTGTCGACCTTCTGCGGGTCTTTGAGGGGCTTCAAAAGTGCAATGGAATGCACGCCTCGCCAGAGGAGAGGAAAACACTGGCGAGCCTGAGATTTGAGAAGCACCGGCATAACACTCAGAGCTGCCTCCATAGGTGCCGCCTTGAAAAGCTCCGCCGGAAGAAGAGTGGGGCCTGGAGCTTTGCCGCATCGCATACCTGCGAAAGCACTAGAGAGATCGGCAACAGTGGGCAGGGCATCCACGACCAGACACGTGGGGGCCCGCTCGGGCCGCGGACACGCCATGTCTGCAAAAGAGCAGGGAGTGGCACGCTCAGACTTAGCAAAATGGCGTCCGAACAGCGCCTTAATGTCGGCCTCATCATGCACCAGGTCACCGTTCTCAGTGCGGAGGGTGGGTGCTGGCTGCGGCCGCCTGTAGCGCCTGCCGTGCTTTAGCACCGCCCGTATGGCAGCAGCCATTGCCTTGGGTCCGGCCTTTCGTGCCCTTGTGAGGTGATCTCTAGCAAAAGCTGCCTCATCAGCCAGGGTGGCCGCACGCAGCGAAACACCAAGCTGCTGCATGAAGCGGATGTAGTGCGCAACCCGGTAGTCATGGGCCCGCAAGAGGCTCGTTTCCGGTAGACCGGCGTCGAAAACACGAGTGGCTTCGCGCCAGCCCCCAAACACAGCATGCAAGCACTGGCGACGGAAAAGCCTCTGCCGTCTACGGTACACGCGGCGCGCCCAGCGCTTCACACGCAAGAGCTGCCAGGTGCCATCAGAGAGGACCGGTCGGCGGGGGCCATGCCTTGCGCCTGGGAAAAGAGCCCGTGCGCCATGGAGCAGGTGCTCATGAAGACCACGCAGGTGCTCGTCCGAATTGGCAGACCACGGACAGATAGGGGCATTCGCAAAGAGCTGCGCAACAGCAGTCCGGCCTTCCGGGGTCAGCATGGCCTCGCGGTCAAGGCAGGGAGCCGCACGAGTTGCCACATCAAGTTGAACATCCAGACGCGCCCCAAGAACCTGGTGGTCGATCCCCGCGTGCTCGTCAAGGAGAACAAGGCCCGGGACCGTGTCAACATGAGCCTGCCAAACACGCGGAAAAAGGATATAATCGAGGCAAGCAGGGGCTCCCTGGGGAGAAGTCCAGGTCACCACCAGGTCTCCCGCAGGGCTATAGGACCTGGTTCGGTACATCTCAAAAGCATCCGCCACCTTGTCAAGCTGGGCCGCATTGTCGTTCGCCGGGTGCTCCTGGCCCTGACGCCAGGCGTATCGGGCATTAGCGTCACAGCATATTACCGGAGTGGCCTTAGGCGGCAAGCCACGCAGACGCCTGTTGTTGAGACACGCCCACCACGCCTCCTTCTCCCCGGCAGGTGCCGTGGAAGTAGGGGCATGAGCAACCACAAAGACCAGTGGGCCCACAGAGGTCTGTGTCATAACTATTAACATCCGCGGCTCAGCACAGAGGATAGACAGGCGATGACGGTCGAAAGCAAGCACGCCACTGGACCGCAACCAAAGCTGACATCCCATCTGTCCGTCAACCGGGGCAGACGCAACCCGAATAACCCCCTCAACCACAGTCACAGGCGGAGTAACCTGGCGGGTCTCCTGCAGCGCCAGCACCGCAGCATCCTGGGATTGCATAAAGCGATGCAGACAATGTCGTTGAAGGCTTGTCTTGCAAGAGAGGGTGTTGTAGGTGAGGAAAAGGGCCTTGACACGCATAGGCTTGCGGGCCGCACCTTGCTCCGGGCGGGGCACATAGGTGTGCTGAGGACATGCAGCCGGAACCGGGGCGCTCACTGTAGTGCAAGGGAGAGAACAGCCGTGTTGATCGAGGGCCGGCCATTGAGCCTGGGTGCCTGCAACCCTACGCAGCCATAGCCAACTAAAGTGGCAACCAAGGACATCAGGCTTAATCTGTTGTGACAGCCTATCCGCGGCAACATCGAGGCCAAGAAAGTGCTTAGCAAGACCATCGGCCAGTTCATTGCCCGGATTGCCTTGATGCGAGGGTATGTGACGATACCGCAGCGGATGGCGCCCACACCGGACGTAGCAGGCAACACTGGCCACAGTAGCCTGGAGTGGATGCGCGGCTAGCTCTGCGGTAGCGCCGTGCGCTACAAGGGCCGCCGACTGGGAATCAAAAAGGACGGCCGTGGGCAAGTCCGCCTGCGCCGCCGTACATAGGGCCATAAGTTGAGCCCACAATTCGGCCTCATAAACAGAAACCCCGCTGCATTCGTCCGGGACTCGACCGGCCCGGAAGCCCATCCAGTGCCAAGTGGTCTGGAACAGACCCAAAACAGCGACGGACCAGGAGGAACAGCCATCACGAAAGGAGCCGTCGACAAACATCATGAGCGCCTCGGGGTGGCCCTGCGGCGCTGCAGGAAGGGCCGCCAGAAAAGCACGTGCACTCGGAACCAGCCGCAAACCTATGGGTACCTCACATTGAAGAGTGTCCAGAGCAAAAGGCTCGAAGGCATCCCGCTCAAGACCATCAGGCAGAGGAAACGCAAGGGCTGGCTGGGTTTGCGGGGCTGACGGAAGCAGCTCATCAAGGCACAGCTGCCGTATGACAGCTCGGTCATCTGGTGCGCGGCCAATAATCGAGGCACCAAGGCAGGCATTGCCCGATGTCGCCGCCTCAGGCTGGGTATGTTGGGGCTCTGGGGCAAAAATCCGTCTCCTGCCATGGGGCGTAGGGACGCTACAAGGCACGGTGGAGGTCTCCGCCGGCTTATGAGGAGGAGGCAGGTTAGTCACCCGCAGCTCGGCATCGTCCTCAGGAGCGGCACTCTTCCTTGACAGTCGAAGGTCAGCTTGGAGAAGACTGAGGCTGCTGGTGGCGCTGCCTGTGGATTCCGGCCGCGGCCGAACTCGCGCCCGGGCGGACACAGCCCCCGCAGGGACCCGGACCCTAAAGACTGCCCCATCTCTCACTTCAGCGGGAGGGAAAACGACAGTATAGGGAAGTCTAGGCAAGACATGCAAGGTGGGCTCAATCGGGGCCAGTGGATTGATAGCCGTCACCATAAAGAACTCAGGGTCCCCAGGAACTGGGAGAAGCAGAGTGCGATACGGGTCGGCAGGTCCCACTTGTATAACAACGGAATCAGTCAAGCTAATCGGGCGTTCGCCCTCGATAAGGACAGCGTCCTCCGCGATGACCCCAGAAGAGCGTAACGCCTGCTCAGATTCGGCGAGAGATGGGGTCACCGGGCAAACAGCAGCGAAGAGCATCGGAGGGTTCCAGGCCGAGAGGACCCAGATAGCGACTCTGCCTGGGCCGAAGGACCCGAAGGTTTGCAACCGCCCTGCCTCAACCTCACGATAGTATCTTAAAAACGCCCTAGCGGCATGCTCCGCCAGATCAGTGGGCATTCCGCCCTGGCCATGCGTGAGGGGTGGAAATGCCACGGGTAGCGCCCACAGGCGCAGCTGCCTGATCCTCCTCATCCAGACCGTGGAGGGGGAAATGGTGAGGGTACCTCGGCATGTGTTGGGAACTAGCTGCAGGTAGTCCCCTGTCCGCAGCGGCCGCCTGATGCCCTGCATGGGTATGCCGTTGACCAAATAGGTCAGTTCTCTAGCCCGTTGATTAGGCTTCAGCAAATCCTCCGCCCAGGTGTTCTCAGAAACTTCGACAGAATAGATGCCTTGCCCACAGGTCGTGATGTCGATAACGACAGCAACGAGGCCTGTCCGCCCCGAAGCCAGGACAAAAGGAATGGACTGAACACCATCCGGGTCCTGTGAGGGATAGGCTGCGAGCTGCTGCACATAACCGCCAGGAGGCAAAGTGCGACTCCGGGCGACCGCACTGACGAGCCGCGTCAAGGCCACCACAGAATCAAAAGCCTCCAGCTCGACTGGTAAGGTGCGTAGAGTCTGGGCACCAGTCACAAGGGCGACCAGGACACGGACGGGACCCGCAACAACCCCTGTCGTAGTGGTCGTAGTGCCAGCAGGAAGGGGAGATGTCGGCATCACCCTGTGAAGGGGCCGGACCGCCAGCCAGTCAACATTGTCAAGAGTGTCAGGCAGGGTGTCATAGACCGCACCTGTCTGGTCTTGCAGGTAGACAGGACCGTGACCTTCCACGCGCAGCTGCACCGCAACATTCGTGGTAACAAAAGGCCGGATTCGGGCATAGACCTCTTCTGCAGGCATGTCCGGGCTTAGAGGAGGGCAAAAGACGTCTCCACCGATGGGTCTAAGATCAACTGGTATGATCCTCCACGGATCGACGACATCAACCGAGGTCGCAACCATTTGCGGCGTGGCAATGCCTGGCATGGGGCTTTGGAGCACATGCATGCTACGAAGAGACTCATCGTGAGAGGCTCCTGCAAAAACTGCCAGGTCCGACAAGGTCCACCCCGGCTCTGCGAGCAGGTTCCGCGGCCAGCTGTGCCAGGCAAAGAGGGTGTATTGGAATCGCTGTCGCCCATAGGGACCGCTACCACGGTCGAGAGTGAACTGGAGCGAGTCCTGGATGGCCACACTATCCTCGAAGATATACGCAGGGCGACACTCAAAGGCGGGTGGCTGAAAAGTAGGGCGAAGTCGTCGCTCCCTGCCAAGCAGAGAAGGCACGTCACCCCGGAGAGCACGCAGCGCATCAGGCCGCGTAGCAGTGGCATCTTCAACATCACCCCCCAGCTCTGCATAATGCAACACGGCCCATTCAAGCTCAACAAGGGGCCCTCGGAAGTCAACATGCCTGCGGCCAGCGGCATCTAGCACGGCCTGCGGCGTGCCCTGTGGAAGAGTCAGGAGGCGCGGAATAGGAGCACCACTGGCCAAGATATCCGGTAGGGCCGCCATAGTCGCCTGATTGGTCACCGAGGCCGTCACAACATTCAGGGCAAACACTCTGAGATCAAAAGGGACAGCAAGGGCATCAGGAGCCGCAGTGGTCAGTGTCAGCGTGAGCTGGGGGCATGGAAGGCCCGACATGGGTCTCGTTATAAACTGAAGCGTGCGGACCGGCCCGGCGGCAGAACCGGCAGCATCCGCCGCGTAATCGCTCAGCCTCCAGTCGTGACTGCAAGCCCGAACGCGCGGCCGTTGCCCTGGCTCAAAGATGGTGTAACGGCCATTGCCTGCTTCATCGACCTCAGGGCGAAGAGCCACAACCATTCTAGCCATAGGCAGATACAACGCTGGGCCATCAAGCTCTTCCGGCAGAACCCGCACGTGTGCGGCCCGGATGTACGAGACTTCGCTAGGCATGGACGGCCCTGCTGCCTGCCGGGATATAGCTTTAGGACCCCACTGAGCTCCTGAACCGACCGCTGGGATCTTAGTACTCGGACCTCCCTGCAGTGTGCCTTTCTCAAAATCGGCCTTGGACGGGTGAACAGGTGCTGTGCTGGTCAGACAGGACCGCACAAGCTGCGACTGGGAGTCAAAGGCGTCCTTAGAAGGAACAGCCCCGGCTCGATAGAAACCGTCCTTGGAACTAGCAAGTAGATGAGGGAGAGCCGTGCTGGGCACACGAGACCGCACAAGCTGCGAACAGGGTTCGGCCAAGGCTCGACAGGAACCGTCTTTGAAACTGGCACGGAGAGGAGGATCATTTGCCGTGCAGGTCACGGGAGACCGCACAAGCTGCGACCCGGAGCAGGGTTCAGCCAAGGCTCGACAGGAACCGTCTTTGAAACTGGCACGGGGAGGAGGATCATTTGCCGTGCAGGTCACGGGAGACCGCACAAGCTGCGACCAGGAACAGGGTTCAGCCAAGGCTCGACAGGAACCGTCCTTGAAACTGGCAAGGAGAGAGGGACCATTTGCCGTGCAGGTCACGAGAGACCGCACAAGCTGCGACCAGGAAAAGGGTTCAGCCAAGGCTCGACAGGAACCGTCCTTGAAACTGGCAAGGAGGGGAGGAGCATTTGCCGTGCAGGTCACAAGAGACCGCACAGGCTGTGGCTGGGACGAGCATACAGGACATGGAATCCTAGGAAGCGGCCCTTTACAAAGGAGTTCTAGATAGGAGGGCCACAGCTCAACTATGCGTGACAGCTGCCGCCTCCTGTGGAATACATCGCGGTCCCCATTCTCACAAAAACGAACCCGCATCTCAAAAGGATGGGGCCTACGGTGAACGCAGGAACGCCCGCGCCTCACCTTATCTGTACAGCGTTGAAATACATTCCGCTCAGCACCAAGGCTGGAGGTGATAACCTCGCCTTTGAGTGGACGTGCAACCCCGAGACCAGCCAGGCTATCCCCAGTAGCACTGGCCTGCTGCAAGAGGCGCCCGTCACACCCAATAGCAAGATCAACCCCCTCATCGGCAAGGCCGTCAACAAGGTCCTGCTCATATGCCTGAATCCGGGGGTCCAGCTCGTCAACATGTGCCGCCAACTCCAGGTCCTGAATCCCCACCTGGAAAGCTGCAAAAAGTCCCTGGACACTTGCCCACCAGGGATTGACGTAAGCTGGGTCCGAAAGAATGGAGGGTTCCAAGCTCCACAAAATCGTCGCTCCGAGCGACTGGAAAATCGGCCCGCTGAGTCCTCGAGAGCTCATCAACGGGCCTTGCCAGGGACTGCTTCGGCCTTGTCCACGTCCGCGGCAGCAGCCTTGCCCCCGCCTTTGCCAGAAGCCGCAGGAGCTGGCGGCTCGGGCTGCGGCGTCTGTCTTCTCGGCGTGCGGGATCCATCCCGCTTGTCTTCCGTCTCCTTCGCCTTGGCTTGCACTGCCAAGGCGTCCAGCGTAGCCTGGACCTTTTGGTTTTGCTGTCGCTGAGCTTCTTTGGCATGAGCCTCTGCTCGCTCTTCCTCGATCGCCTTCTCCACAAGCTCCTCCTGCACCTGCATCGCGTGGTCGTCTTCGCCAGGGTCTGACGAGTCCACATCCTGCACACTCCCAGATGCAGTCGTCAGTGCTTTCAGCTCTGCGCTGGCTTTGGTGAGGGCAGCCTTCCACTGTTCCTCCTTGTCGTCGAAGGACTGCATGACTGTCTCCTGCTCCGCGATCTGTGTCTTGAGCAGCTCTGCCAAACCAGCAATGTACTGAGACCACTGTTGCAGGTAGAGGCTCCGAGCCGTTTTGAGCTTGTCGAGCTCGCGCTTGGCCGCGGATTGCTGCGAGACCGCACGGTGCATCGACTTGGTCTCCTGCTCCGTCTGCGACTGCTGGTATTGCTCGAGAAGAGCCTGTGCTTCCGCTGGGATGGCCGCCTTGGACGTACGCAGCACCTTGAGCAGCGTGTCCAACTGTTGTTTTTCCACTGACTGTGCCACCTGCGCTGACGAGGAGGCCGTCGTCGATTTCGGCGCCGCCATAGGCAGCGCGCTCGGCGGTGCTGGGAGGCCTTCCAGCGCCGGTGCCCGAAGGGTAGGTGGGTCCACGACCTCCTCCTTGGGCTTTGCTGCCTGGGGCTGCCCCTTGCCTTGGGCACCTTTGCCTCTTCGCCTCGGCCGCGGTGATTGGTTGTGTCTCCCCGGCGAGGTCGTCCTGGTCCGCGACTGCTGGTGCCTCGGCGCGTACGTCTTGTAGCTCCAGTGCGAGCCGCAGGCCGCACAGTATTCCGCTGAGGCCTTGCAATGAGTCTGGCAGTTTTGGCACTGCCACGGCGGCATTGCTGCGTCCTGCTGTAGAAGAGCTTCTCTCACTTTGCTGGGCAGAGTGCTGCGCGAATGGTGGCCTTCCAGCCTGCCACAGGCCTTGGCCAAATCCTCCGCCGAAACTTGGGTGTACCCTGCCAGAAAACCCCTTAGCAGCGTACGGGCACGGGTCCTCTGCCGGCGAGCTTGTCGGTGGTGTGCAGGCTCGGCAAGACGGCGCAAAACCCGCGGTATACTGGCAACAGAGCAGAACCAGACACTGTACCAGTGTAAACATATACCGGAAGGAGGCACCCCCACGAACCAGTCGTAGTGTGCCAGGCGGAGCAGAGCTCAACGCAAATTCCAGAATATAGAAAAAACCAGATCCCAATCAAAAAATCCAGGATGGGCCCGAAAGCAGCCAGCCAGGAATCTGAAAGGTCCAGGGAGAGTGGGGCCTTAACCTCGCCACTCAAAAAGTCCGCAGCGTAGGGGATCACACGCCCTAGCCGCAATATCGTGGGCAAAAAGCCGCACTAGGGTCAGGCCGAGACTGGACCACTACGGGAAACTACAGTCTCAGCCGAAACGCCTGCGGGTTTGGGGTTTAGGGTTTAGGGTTTGGTTAAGCAAAAAGGGAACTACAATGGAGACTATAAGTAGGAGCAACCGTGTCTTCTGGCCCAAAGTAGCCCCCCATTCTGACATCAACAAGTCGGCAGGTCCTGCAGAGTCTTGTCTACTAAGGCCTTCATGTCACCCAGCTTTTTGTCAACCTGGCGGTTTAGGGTTCAGGGTTTAGGGTTTAGGGTTTAGGGTTTAGGGTTTAGGGTTTAGGGTTCAGGATTTGGGGGTTTAAGATGTTGGGGCCGAGGCTGCATTTCGGCAAACAGGAGGTCTTCGTGTCGGGGCCACATGGGCCAATCTGAAGGGTTTGCAGGGCTGTTTGTGGAACACTGTACACAAATGATGGTTTAGGGTTTAGGGTTCAGGGTTTGGGGATCTTACTGGTTAAGCCAGAAAAGGGAACTATTGGTTTGGGGTTTAGGGTTTTCAGGGTTCAGCTTGCAAAGACGCATCCTGCTGCTTGGCGGTATGCCCCGAAGGCCACTACTACCCTAAACCCTGAACGCTAAAACGAAATTACTTTGAAAACCATGCGTCTTCGCACAACTCCTTTGCTTGGGATCTTGAAACCGACCTTGAATCGAGCCGCCCTAAGCCCTTAAGCCTCGACACCCGAGAAGAGTGGTATTGGAACTGATGCTGAGGGCTTGAAGGGCTTGTGTGCAAACTGAGGCTAAACCCTATAACCCTAAAACCCTAAACCCTTAACCCCAAACCCAAAACCCAGGGCTTCAAGGCTTCAAGCTTCGGGATGAGGGCCTGGGGGCTTTGGCTGTAAAGTTGTAAAGCATTTGGCTTGTGGTTTAAGGTTTAGGCAAAGCCTAAAAGCCAATGTAGGAGCCTTAATAATTAGAATAGGGTTTTGGGGCCCATTATGGAAAATCCAAAGCGTGCAACATCTTCACTGCAGCGGCCATCAACCTAAACCAAACCTTGCAATCCCCCAAAAAAACGGTCTTACCTGTCCATCATAGGGTGTAGGATATAGGATTCAATCAGGATCGCGCGATACAACACGGCTCCTGCCTCTTGCGCTGCCGCAGCCATCGCGTCATCGAGGTCCTGTTTCGTCCACAGTAGATGCAACCAGTAGTGCTCAGTGCTCCAACCGCTGTCGTGGAACCGCACCGCACTGAGCAAAGCAAAATGTCACTAATTGGAAGGAAGCATAACAGCTCTCAGACACAGACACACAGACAGAAAATCGCGGAACATGCTGCGCAGAGCATTGGATCCTGTGTTTCAGCGAAAGTAACACACATCTGCCTGCATCAGAACCTGAAGCAAACATTCGGAGCCCAGAGCCGTGACCTGTGTGAAACCAGTTTAGGGTTTAGGGTTTAGGGGTTTAGAGTTTAGGGGTTTAGGGTTTAGGGCTTAAGATCGCAATCCCTGAATTCAAAAGCAGTCTCTAGCGTCTTGCAGGAGGTGCTCTGTGCTCCCAAGTGTAAACCCAGACCGTCTACACCCTCTATGAAAGCCCCAAAGGCTTTGAACTACCTAAGTCATAAACCTATAACCTAACCCTGAAGCAGCCTCATCCGACAATCCCAAACGCCGTCCAGGAAGATCGAAGGATCCTGCAGTGGTCCCCTGGAGCCGTACCGTCTCAAAAGAGTATTCATAAGCCTCTCCACCAGTCGCCTGCCCGAAGCAATCCTAAACCACCCTAAGGCAATGACGGCTCGACCACCGAGGGTTTAGAAACCCTCAACCGAAGCCGAAGCCCCTGAGCAGAAACACACCAAAAGAACGCCGCAAACCTGCCATCCACCCTCAAAGGTTTAGGGCTTAGGGCTTAGGTTTTAGATGAAACCCTAAGAAGGAACGGAACCCCAGAACCTGACCCCCCTTGCATTTCCGAATACAAGGAAACACAACATACAGGAAGCCCCAAACCGACAAACTTGGCAAGACCGCCTTGCGCTGATTGTCGAGGTTCGACTTGCCCTGGGAATCCAGAGATTTCCAAACCCCTGATGAGCAAATTCCTCACGTGATACTATAGAGATCCCTGGCAAAGTCCTCTACGGGCCATGCACCCATACCGTATATAGTAGGACCCGACAGGTGAAGCATAAGCAGATACTGTATAGTCGTACAGCTACATGGATGTTTCGGATGACCGGTGTTTCCAGACAATCTTGCTCGTTCCTGCGTTTTAATGGGAGTTAAGATTCGGGGGACCCTTGGGGATATAGACCCTCCCAAAAAGGTCCCTTTCAAGAGAGCCATGAGTAGAGTTCAGACGGGTCCCCTTTAAGCGGTCTCCCTAATACTACCAAACCCTAAACCCTAAACCCTGAACCCTAAACCCTAAACTTGCCCTAAACCCTAAACCCTAGGATGCTTCGGATGTCTCCCTGATACTACCTAGGATTGAAGCTCAGGTTGAATTGGGCGATCTGAAGCAGACGGAGTTTCCGGGGCTTGGGCTACTGCACTTAGGCTTTCAAGCCAGGGTTTAGGGCCGGTTTAGGGTCTGGGGATTAGGGTTTAAGGGTTGAGGGTTTAGGTTTTTGTTTGGGTTTAGAGTTTCGGTTTAGGGTTTGGGGCCTTAATAGTACCTATACTGTTTCGGGGGCTTCCCTATTATACCTCTGGCATAGTATACCCCGAAAGTCTATGCTGATCTTTAAGGCTCCTACATTAGGGTTTGGGGGCTTTGGGCTTGAAGTTTGGAAGCTTCAAGCTAAACCCTAAACCCTAAACCCTAAACCCTAAACCCTAAACCCTACACAGACTCGGGCTTTCCTAAAGCAGTAACAGGGTTTAGGGCTTATAGGGTTTAGGATTTAGGGTGTAGGGCGCAGGGTTTAGGATGAACAGCAACATCAGCCCAAAAGGGCGGAAACCTGAAAGACAAAGGTATTCTTGAAGCGCAGGCGCCGGGGTTGCTGGATTCGGAAGGTTGGAGGATGGAGCGCAGCGGTAGTTCTCTAAACTAGGGTCCCTTCTTTAGGTCCCGAAAATAGTACGGCACCCGTATAAAAAGGACAATGAAAGGGACCATAATTTAGAGAACTACCCACCTCGATTCACAAGGGGCCAGCGATTCTTGGACCTTGAGTTGCTCCAAACAAGTCGTTGCGTGAATTGTGTGGACACCGACCTAAACTTTAAACACTAAGCCCTAGACCCTGCACCCTATAAACCCTGAACCCTTAAACCCTATCAAGGGTTCGGGGATGCACGGCTTGAATTTCAAGCTTGAGCTGAATAGTGTAAACCCGCAGAGCCAAAACAACTTGACCCGCAAGAGGGCTGCTCTTTCCTGTAGTTTTAGGGTTTAGGGTTCCCAACAATGTCATTAACCCAAAACCCTTAAACCCTAAACCCTTAAACCCTTACCTTGAAAAGACAGTTCGAGGGTTCTCTTTCATCTAGAGCCCAGTAAATGCGTGCCCCGGCTCCTCCTGCGACTTCGCCTCCGTGAAATTCGTCATGTCCTCCGCAGAGGGGCTTCTATGCGATTCGGCAATTCCCTAAACTTAGGGGTGGCAGGTTTCCTTTTTCTGTAGTGCCTTGGGGCACCCTATAAACTTTAAAACACTAATATATCCCTGTGATGACACTTGTCTGCGCAAGTTCCCTAGGCAAGAACAGAAGGCAATGTCCGTGCGGGTGGAAGTGAACTCTTTGTCGATGCGCTCGCAGAGGGCGGCCAACTCGTCTGCCAAGGCCTGCCTGACTCACGCATGTGTGTATATGTAACAAACATATATATATATATATATACATATATATATATATATATAGAAATGTATGTATACATATGTGCGCCTGTGTATGTTTGCATACATATGTATATATATATATATATATATGTATACAGATATACATATGTATTTGTATGTGCATATGCACGTATGAACTTACGTAAGTACGAATGCATTTTGGTATGTGTGTATGTATGTATGTATGTATGTATGTATGTATGTATGTATGTATGTAAGTAGGTATGTATGTAAGTATGTATGTAAGTATGTAGGTATGTATGTATGTATGTATGTATGTATGTGGGCGTTGGCATGCATGCATGTACGAATCAATGTGGAGTTTGTCTGTCTGATCTGTCTGTCTGGTCTGATCTGATCTGACCTGATCTCATCTTATCTGATCTGTCTTTCTGTCTGTCTGTCTGTCTGTTTGTCTGTCTGTAAGTCTGTATGTCTGCATGTATGTATGTATGGATAAACAGACGAAGCATATGACGAAACATATGTATACATACACATATATATATATACACATGTTATATATCCACATGTGCATGCAACGTTGTAAGAATGCAAACAAATTCATAAGTAACTATACATACAGTAATTACGACGTATTAATATGTATTATGTACAGACAGTCGAACATGTGTATAATTCTCATTTTTAGAGAGAGAGAGAGAGAGAGAGGCTCAAACATGTTTGTATGTACTTCTTAATGTAAAATTTAGCTACAGGTTGTTGTCTTTTGTCCTGCTTTGATCCTTTCTTAGCTTTATTTGAATGCACAAGTTCAAAAACACCTACGGAAGTCTACAAGTTTCAAAGGCAGGTAATGAGCTGAGGCTTGGGCTGCAAGGTTTGGGGCGCGGTTGCAGGGGCTTTGGCATGGAATCTTTTGGGGTTTAGCTGAAACCTACTGAGATCGCATCTGACATTCAAGCTAAGACTTGGCTGCATCAAATCGGTGGCGAAAATCCTGGACACGATCATCCCCAAGCAAAGAAATGGTGAGCAACATGCTGGCAATGCTGACTACTGACCACAGGTCGAACGCTGAGGACTGAATCTCCTGCAGGCATGTTAACTGCTGAAATAAGGGCCTTCTTAAGTAGAATAGGGTTTTGGGGCCCATTATACTATATTTGTACCAAGGAACCCACAAAGTAGAGTTGGTATTTGTTTAGGCCCCTATATTAACCTTATCACACTACAAGAAGGAGGGGGTATCAGGGCTCTAGGCCCAAATCTGCAGGCCTCGATTCCGTCAGCCACTGGCTTGCTTTGTGGATTTACATTGACATGTCTCTGAAAAGTAGGGGTCCCTGGCTGGGACTTATTGTGTTAAGGATCTTACTACGTCAATGTAGAGCCTAACCCCCAAACCCCTAAACCTAATCCCTCCTAAATCTTTGCTGTTGACCTTGGGGAGGGCCCTTACAGTTGTTGAACATCCCACACTTCACTCTCAGAAGCCTACAGCCCAAACCTCAAACCATGACCAGGGCTGCATGGCCTCTACTATCGACCCTGAACTTGGCTGACTTCTGCAGCCCTCCAAAGTTAAACTTTTAGTCTCCTTACTATAGCTCATATAGAAACCCCAAAAAATAGTCCTAAGAGCCAACCAGAATCCAAGCGAACAACCACAAATCCCGAAGGCCAAGAGACACTAGCACTGTGTATGTAGAAACCCTTGAAGACCCCAAGTTTTACTCCAGGCAGCACCGGTAAAACTGTTGGTGCTACATGCTAGCACAAACATAAATCTGGAATGAGAGGATACTGGTACTAGGAAAAGCCCTGAACCCTGAACCTTAGGCCCTAACCCTTCAACAACCCACGGTGGCCTCACGTCCGTGTCCACTTGGCTCATGCGTTGGCCGAGACTAGTCTCTGCCTAACAGAAGGGCTTGATTGGTTCGCACTCGGTCGCTTTTTCCGGGTTCTTCATATCCTGGGGTTTAGGGTTTAGGGTTTTACGTTTAGGCCTTTAAGGGGTTCCGTAGAGAGGTGACGAAACGGGTTCTGATATGTTCTGATAGTGGGGCGATAAGGGCAACGGCCATGGATTTTTTGGTTCGGGCCTTCTCCGAAGTGTAGTGAGTTGCATTTTGGGCTTAGGGTTCAGGGACCCTAAGCCCAAAACCCCAAACCCTGGGCTTCGGTTGTGGATTTATTGAAGGTCACATGAAATTTGCACACAGCAAATGGAAGCTCTTAGCTTGCTTAGGGCTTAGGGTTTAGGGTTTACTTGCAGGTTTAGGGTTTAGGGTCTCGGGTTTAGGGTTTAGGGTTTTGGGTTTTGGGTTTAGGGTTTTGGGTTTAGGGTTCAGCTGCCCCACCCTCAACGCTAAACCATAAACCCCCGACACCCTGGGCTCCTTCGACAGCTTGTCCTCGGTGCCGTTGAGCAGTCCCATCATGTCGTTCCGGAACTGGTTCATCCTGGAAACATGGGTGCATGAAGAACTAATTGCACCAGGCGTGTCGTTTTAGAGGTATATGACGAACCCTAACACGAACTGATGCACAGCCCTTCAACTGATAGCTCTTGAGTCCTCTACTTACCCAAGATCGAAGAGACATCAACAACCTAAGACCTGTAAGGTGGAAGAATGGGACCCTAAAGGCTATCCGGTACCCGCACAGCCCCCGGGATAACCACACGCAAAAAAAAAAAACAGCCCAAACAAAATGCAAAATCTGGGTCCACCAAAACCCAAGCCCCTGATAATCATCCATTTAACATCTTTTAAAGGAGACCTCTACAAGAAACATCAACCCTAAACCGGGCCACACGCACTTCACACAAAGCACTCAGAGCCTCCTCGTCCTTAACATCCCGAGACCACCTTCAAACCTAGACCCCGAGACAGGAAGAACCATTTAATTCCGGGCTCTTGAAGGCTTTCAGGTTTAGGGTTCAGGAGTTTGGGGTTCTATAAAGGTTTAGGAGTTCAGGGTTCTATAAGGGTTTAGGGTTTAGGGTTCTAGAAGGGTGTAGGAGTTTAGGGTTCTATAAGGGTTTCGGGTTCTATTAGGGGTTTAGGGTTTTAGGGTTCTATAAGGGTTTCGGGTTTAGGGTTAAGAGATCTTTGAGAGATCCAAAAGATATCCACTTGGGTGGTTGTCAAAACTAGGGCTCCTTTTGGGGTACCCTAAATAATAGGTGCCGTATTATCATAAGGACCCAAAAGGGGACCATAATTTTGACAACCACGCACTTATGGCTTGGGGTTTGGAGTTTGGGCCTGGGGCGGAGATTTGGGAGTTTCCGAAATTAAGGGGTCCCTTGTTTTGGGGATCCTACCATTTAGGGTACCATATTAGGGTCCCCTATTTTCGGAAACCCCCATTTGAGGACCTCATCCCAAGACTCAGGAAGCCTCCGAGGCTATCACGAGCGGTCCTGTCGTCCGTGTACTTACTCGCATCACCCAAGGTCTTCTGAAAGCCGTCCTTGTAGGAGATTTTAGGGTTTAGGGGTTTGGGTTTAGGGTTTAGGGGGAAAGGGGGTATAGGGCTCCCAGCAATTGGAACAGGGCCGGTGGCGTAGATTATATTTCCAATGGCACAAGGCTAGAAGGGGACACGATTACAAATTGCTCAGCCTTGAGGTGTACTCTGAAAAGTTTTGAGACCCTAAACCCTAAAACCGCAGGACATGTACAGTGTCAGGATGTATGCTTCAAAGGCTTTACGCAAAGGCCCCATAGTAGTTCCTTTT